TGTTCTGATGGACCACCCGAGCAAGAAAGAAACTGCCCCTCGGGATTTCCCGCGTCGGTCCCGCAAACACAGGTTCTCATCATTTGGACCATATATAGTAAATCCTCTATTTACAAAGCATGGGGTCAAGATGGCTGCTGGAGATAGTTGGCCTTATTTTCTTTTCTTCTCTTACGTTTTCTTTTCATCTTGACTTCGTCTTGGTCTATAAATTAAACTCGCAAAGAAATAGAAAATGTTTTATCAACATTCAGCCAACATGACACCTCAAACTCGACCATTAACGCATGATCGCCTCCTACCATCTGATTCTTATTTATTTATTTATTTATTTTTTAAACCATCGACCTGTTTACCGATAGCAATTCTGGCTAAGTCACTTACAAACTAGCAAGGGAAAAAGAATGAGGAAATAAGAAATATAATACTCAAACAACTGGAAACAATCTTACTGTCAGTATTAATTCTTATCGTGCTCCTTAACAGATGTATGGTCATCAGAAGCCACACTGATACCAACAGCAGTTTCCACAGCTTATCGAGCGTCAACAACCCAACCACCTCAACAGGGTAGGTAATTTTCTGTGCCTTTTCTTCGACTTGTTTCCTATTATCTCAATCTGCTTTTGTGTCTAGTGCGAAGCACGTAGACACTTTGTGAGAGCATCGAAAATTCGTTCAAGTACCTCATTATAATCCCAACATATGACGTAACAGCCATAATAATCCTAATATATAGATTTAGCCAGGGCTAAAAGCGAAGCTCCCATTAATAAATTTATAATTTAAATCAAACAATAAACTTGTGATCCACAAATCAGTTAACTTGAGGGCACATTCATGTGACTTTTGAGGGAAAGGCTAAGTTATTTTAGAGTGAAACATCTTACATCGAGTTGATAGCCTTATATGTACACCCAAAAAAGAGCAAACATCTTCGATCACATTCAAGAGCCATAATGGCTCTTGATCACAGCTGTAGATAAGGCCTCGAAAACAAATTCTAGAAAAATAAATCAGGCTGAATTTTTTTGCGTTCGACAGGTTTACTTTACAAATTCTTGCCAACAAATCTGGGGGTGTGTAAACCAACCTTTTATACTTTTTATACACGATCTGAGGTGAAACAGTACGTACAATTTATCATACAGACCTCGGACAGAACACGGTATTTCACAATTTTTCAACACAAATTGCACTCAGTCAATGTTCGGGACGATCAATCGTGGGCTTTTAGCGAAACCGTTAAAAAAAATTTCCAAAATCACTCATTAGGCCGGCCGGTTCTCGTTTCTAGTGCGAGCTGTCAGTGTAATCGAGTGTTTGAATGAACTTTAAAAGAGTTACGTCTCAACATAATAACGAATTTATAATTATATTTTTTTGTTATTTAATGGTTTCAGTTATAACGATGTGTAATCTTATAAAGCGTTTGATACGCGCGACATTTAAAGTACTCCTGCAAGCGATGTTCATGAACGATGAAAACAAACGCCACGGACGAGCGATTAAAATTGCAAGAGAGTACTAACAATCAACAAAAGAAAGATAATTCGGTGAAACATTTACAGAGACAACAATTTTCATTCACGAAGACAAGTATTAAAGTGTCTCTAAAAATTGTGAGTCTTTAAACTTAAAAGTTAATTATGTTTTACTGTAATTTCAGCCGGCCTCCCGGTGTTTGTTTTTTTCAACGATGACACTTCTCGAAGCAAGAAAATCGCTCAAAGTTTTCTTTCTACAGCCAAATATATAGCTAAATATTCTTCGGAACGTTTTCTTTCTGTTTGCGGTGAGAAAATATATCTGAAGGCTTTTCACAGTTCTGTAAGCTTATATCAAAACTGATACTAGGTCAGATCATTGACTCAAATCTTACAAACGTGCATAAACCTGCTGCATAAACTGTGCTCGACTTCATGAAATTAGATATAACAAAAACAAACATCAAATACAATAATTACTCAGGCTTACCATTCGAGATTCGGTTCCTGAAAGATATCATGGAAGGCCACAGTTGCTTGAGACTTTTAAGCCCTCTTACGCATTAAGCAAGGTGGAAAACGAAAACGATGCCTTCCGAAATCGGATTACCGAATTTTGACAAGCAACGCATTTCTCAACCAAAAACCCAATAAACAAACCAGCCATGAATAACAGGAGACTCTTGATAGCAGCTGTATTTCATTTTGTACATCCAGTGGTTGACACAAAACTCTGTCAGCTTCTGCTCTCAAAGTAAACAACTTTCATGATGCTGCATAAATTTCCGCATGAACTCACCTGTCAATTTTTGACCAATCAGAGTATAAAAATTGGACGTAGAGCGTGACCAACGCGTGACCATGGTAATAAAAGTTCTTCCCCGCCTGTATTTAAAAAAAAATGACTGAATTTTCGCGTCCGAGGTCAGTTTGAAATCAAAATCTTAACAGTGCGGGGTCATAGTGACATAAACACAACATATTTCATATGAATCATTGGAAAAAATGAACTTGAGCCTACGATCATTTGAAACTGGTAATTTGTCAGCGGATAACTTCAAAAAATACTCGACCTCGATGGGTGAACACTTGAGCCCGCGGTACGGTCAGGTGATACTGGTCAGCGGGTGCCCTCTTTTGACAGCTGTCAATTGATCACAACATTGATGTGCAATTAGTTTTTCCTTGGGCTCCCAAACTAGCTAGAAAGTGTGAGAGTACACATTGGTTTCCCTGTGGTGCGGACGGACGGTCGTACGGTCACGTGATTACCAAATTTTCTCGAATGGGTAGATTACCACAATTCCTTACCTATGGGGCTCCGCCCACGCTCGCGCGCTTCGCGCGGGTGAAGCTCCGCTATAAGCTATACATTATTTTACTACTTTCGTGAAGGGGGAGCATAGCGTTAGCACAAATTTGTTAACTTTGGAATGTGTAACCATTTGGCATGCTTGGAATGTGCAACTATGTGCACTATGCATCAACCTCGTCCCCAGGGCGCTTTTCCCTGGCTTTGGAGGTGGGGCGGGAAAAGCCCCACCTCTAAAGCCAGGGAAAGCGCCCTGGGGACGAGGTTGACCATGCACGTGCATATAACTAATCGTGAAGGCTTCTTGGCTAATCTTGAGGAGTTTTAGGATATTCGATTGATTAGAAATGGATTCGATAAAAGGACCTAAGAAAATAATCGCAACCAATTTAAATTAGAAGATGAAAGATAACGACGAAGGGAGAGCAACCTTCAAAATTTTTGTGAGTTGTAATTTAAACTTGTAAGACATTTATCAAGAGCAACAGATGTTTGTATTCGGGGAATACATTTTGATTTAATGGATATCTTATTTCATCTTTTTCTTTGATTCTTCTTATTGTTGTTATTCTATACTATATAGTTTCTAAACAAATTCGTACTGCAAACAGTCACTTGAAAGGGTTCACAGGGTTAAGCGTTTTTAGCTATAAGGCAGTCTGTTGAAAAAGGTATATAAACAGGCGTCCTGATACGAACGACTTTCTCTTTTAGAAGAGAACAAATATCCCAGTTCATTGAACAAGCAAATAATCATCACGCTAGTAATGTTAAAATAACAAAGGGAATCTCTGAGAACAAAAGTTTTACTTAAAGATATAATTGTGTTCAAAGAAATAAAAACTATTAAAACATGTTAATTCTTGGATCTAGGAACACTTTTCAAGCCAGATGAATTATTTCAGAATGCAGGCTTCTCGTCTTGCCACCCAAGAGTTAGGGGTAAAGAATGGAATCATGAAAAGCAAAGGCAAAACTCCGGCTACTCAGAGCCAATTTCTCTAAAGAAATTTTCAAAAAGACACTTTAGATGGAGAGGCTATTCACAAAAACAGATAGGCTCAAACAAACTCTCTTTGTCATACACCTTTGAAACAGAAAAAAAAAAAGCATTACAACAAGCAAAAAAGAGCACCATCCAAACTAACTCTTTGCATTATGACCACATTTTTTAATGATATATATTAGCCCTGGACACTCACGCAAGACGGACCTATTTTTAAAATAACCAACAACTTATTTTACCCATAGCAATTCTGGCACAAGCAGGTATTGACAGGACGGGGGAGAAATCAATGAAGGAATAAGATAAAGTATAAATACTCAAAAAACTGTGAAAAATTTAGTGTCAGTATTTCCATCGTGCTCCTTTAGAATTCACTCAAGGTGTGGATTTGATGGATTCATGACCCGTTTTTGGATTTGTCCAAGAAACGTACCCTCAGTTAAACTGCTTGCAAAATACGTTATTGAGGACGCATACAAAATATGGACTCCCGGCACCCCTCTGGACCTAAGCCAAGGACCTCTTGGTGAACCTGGTCCATCGACTACCCACGTGGACGAACCCTAATTTTTGAAGATAAATTTTTACCATTTCTTTTCTTTTTTTTTTTTTCTGAATACCATTAATGGGTTTGGTTTAGTCTGAACGTACTTTTAATATACTGGCCTTGAAGATTTTTTTTTTTTTACTTTGTCTTCACCTTGTTCCATAAGCTCGCCTAAAAAATCCATTAGGGAGCTTAAGCAACAGCGTTTTTGAGGGACGGACTTCAACCGGAAGTTGACTTTTTGCGTCATTAGGCAGTGGTTTGGTTCAAATTCTGCGGTAAATCGTCTTTATAAGGGAAAAGAAACTTAGCAATACAAATTTGTTAGCGTCAAGGCTGATAAAAAGGGATAACACCTCACTTCCGGTTGACGTGCGTCGCTCAAAAACGTCTTTGCTTAAGTTCCCTACTATCAAGCCATCATGACCTCATACTAAGCCATTAACGCCAAAAATATCGTCTCCTGTAATATGATTCTCTTTTTTCAAAACCAGCAACTTGATTATTTACTGATATCAATCGTGATCTGACAAGCACACATAAACTGGGCGAGGGAAGAACAATGAGGCAATAAGAAATATAATACTCAAACAACTGGAAACAATTTCTTGTGTCAGTAATCTTATCGTGTACTCCATAGCAGATGCATCGTCATCAGAACCGGCAGTGATATCAACAGCAGTTTCCACAACTTCACGAACTTCAACAAACCAGCCTTCTCAACAAGGTGCGTAATTGTCTGCTTCGTTTCTTCAACTTGGATTAGACTTGTTCTTTTGTTTTGCTTTGTTTTTGTTGTTGTTGTCGTTATTTTTTTTAGCTTTAATCTTCGTCTTGGTCTATAAACTCTCATCCTAAGTTAAACTGCTTGCAAAATACGTTATTGAAGACTTATACAAAACATGGACTCCCGGCACCTCTCTGGACCTAAACCATGGACCTCTTGATGAACCTGGTCCATCGACTACCCACGTGGACAACTCCTAATTTTTGTAGATAAACTTTTACCAATTTTTTTTATCTGAATCCCATTAGCTAAATTCCATTCATGGGTTTGGTTTAGTTTGGACCTACTTTTAATATACTTGCCTCGAAGGTTTTTTTTTTTAACCTTGACTTCACCTTAATTCTTCCATAAGCTCGCCAAAAAAAATCCATTATCAAACCATCATGACCTCATACTAAGCAATTAACGCAAAAAAAAATCGTCTCCTGTCATCTGATTCTCTTTTTACAAAACCAACAACTTAATTATTTACTGATATCAATTCTGACAGGCACACATAAACTGGGCAAGGGAAGAACAATGAGGAAATAAGAAATATAATACTCAAACAACTGGAAACAATTTCTTAACAGATGTATCGTCATCAGAACCCGAAGTGATACCAACAGCAGTTTCCACAACTTCACGAACTTCAACAAACAAGCTTTCTCAACAAGGTGAGTAATTGTCTGCGTTGTTAGTTCAACTTGTATTGGACTCGTTCTTTTGTTTTGTGTTTGTTTTTGTTTTTGTTTTTTTTTTTTTCACCTTTAAACTTTGTCTTGGTCTATAAACTAGCCAAACAGAGAACAAACAAACAAATTTTCAATATCTAGCCATTCATGATCTCACAATAAGCCATTAACGCATAACTATCGTCTGCACCATCTAATTCTCTTTTACTAAACCAATAACTAATAACCGATAGCAATTCTGGCAAAAGCACATAAACTGGATAGGGGAAACACAGTAATGATGATATTAAAACTATATAAATACTGAAAAAACTGGAAAACAATCTAGTGTGAGTAGTTATTATCATGCTCCTCAACAGATGTATCGTCATCAGAAGCCACAGTGATACCAACATATATTTCCACAGCTTTACTAGATTCAGCAATCAAACCTGCTCCGCTCGGTGGGTAATTTTCTGTGTCTTTGCTTCAACTTTTATTTACCGTTATAGTCTAGTTGATATAGCTAAATCATTCTGAATCCATTGGTACCGGACAAATACATGTGTAACAATCTACAGATAGTCTTACATTTGAACCCTTTTAATACAGACACTAATCTGAGGGTGCCATAGACAGTACTGGTATCAATGGCCGTTTTTATACTGCTGTCGCATTATCTGCCTGGACGAACTTGTGCCAACATTTGTAGTTCGTCTGGTTATGCGTCTTAAGTATAAAGACGGACCCGGGCACAAGACGCATTACGTGTCTGGACGAAGTATCCTTTGTAATACGTCGTGAACGACGCACTACTGAGGTAGACAAATGTTAGCAAAACTTCAGCCAGATGGTTAATTTTGCCTCCTCAGTATAAAAAAAGGCCAATGACACTTGATTTCTCTTCCAACTTGCTCTATCAACTTGATGAGCCTGTTAACAAAAGCAGGAGCCTATGGCTTCTGTCTGGAAGGTCACTTCTTGTTTATTCTAAAAGTAAAGCTCTGAAAATGAAAGGAAGAGAAGCATGAAAATGCTTTCAGAGTTAAACTACTTGAGAAATACGTTATTGATGATAATTTATGCATTAGGCTCGGCACATAAATATTTCGATGTCTGAATTAAAGTCGTTCCAAAGTCGCAATACTAGGCCAGGTTAGGCTGAAACAAAGGCCGAGACGCAGAGAAAGAGAAAGGCCAGGCTACAATACCATATTTTTGTGCCATAATTGATCATTTTAGACAAGATAGCGATTCATTTGAATCATTACATTCGACATTTTCGTGCTCTTTCACTGTCTGTAACTTTTCGGAAACATGGCTCACAATTTGCGACTGAACTGACCGCTATCCAGCCCTTGAGAGAAAGAGGAATACAAAAGTATTCCTGGCACCGTAAATAAGTTTCTTATCTTTTGTATTCCTGCCACCGTGAATAAGTACATATTGTATTCCTAAAGCAAGATGAGCGAGATTATCCCTCTTTACCCGCCATTTTCCTCAATTTAGTGTTGTGCGGTTGGCAACTACCTAAAAACGAGCGCAATTGTTGGGCAAAAAAAGAATATAAATTTAAAGTGTGCATAATGTTTGCATTAGGTTCTGCACTTCAGAGGAGCGCCGTATGAATCACCTGCCGCTCGAATAACGTATAATGCGAGTACTGACTGTGTTGAATTTGGTGTTTTTGCCACACTAAATTAAACCTGCTTTACCAAATTGATTCAGACGCGGCCCTTTTGCCCTATTTAAGTCAACGACCAAACAGAACGGGAAAATGAAAAATGGGAACAAAACTTAACTTGAACCCTAGCCCTATCGGTAAATTCATTACTATTCTCTTTCTCGTTCTTATTTTCATTTTCCCGTTGCCCTTGCTCATTACCCACTCCCGGTTCCTTGTTTTACTAACATCGGCTATTAATCTCCAGGTTGTTATTACGTATGCACCCCACGTATCAGTGATCTATAGAGCCATCTTCGTTTTGACTTCCACAAAGTGCAGTAAGGACCTTCTGTCACTCGTAATTTAATGAAACGTGTTTTGAGCATCTATAACGTGACTCCTATACGCAATGCACAGCGTTGGAGCAAAGCGTTTTGACCTTCGATCGTTGTCGACCGAACTCCGCAACCTTTGGTTATTACTAGTTTCAACTAATTTTATGTCTTTGGTTTTCGTTTTTCTATTGTTTCTTAACTCAGCTTGTCAACAAGGGTGGATTTGCAACGGGACGTCATGTTATAAATTGGTTACGTCACCAACATTGAGTTGGGGAAAGGCAAAGGAGGAATGTGAAAAATGCCAGGCCGGATTGGTAAAGGTTGATTCTCGTGAAGAAAATGATTTCATAAAAACGGAGCTTTTGCCGACCCACAAAGACACTGGTTACTGGATTGGACTTTCTGATTCTGACAACGAAGGTGACTGGATGTGGACGGACGGAACTCAATTGGATTCGGATGGGTACAAAAACTGGGGAGATGACCAGCCGAAAAATAACGAAAATAATAATGATGATTGTGTTATAATAAGAATAAGAGAATCCGATCCAGACCATTACGGGAAGTGGCATGATCTACCATGCTCATTAGACAAGAAATTTATTTGTGAAAAGTAAGGGCATGTTGATAGCTTATAAGGCCTGAATCTTGCGTCAAGCTCTATAATTGCTACCATATTGAGAGCTAGCCTGCGCCACAGACGAAACTATAACAACGCCGAAATAAATCCGTGTTCCGGGCCCCCACCCGTGTACCAGGATTTCACTACGCACCTAGGTTTTGATAGATTGTGCTAGCATAATATTTGGTATAATTCGTCATCACGAACATAATTTTTACCCATATTCCGAAAGAAAGGCACTGCTAGCATTATTCACACTTTCCGCTAGTTTTGCAGCACAAAAATTGTCATTCATGGATCATCCAACCATTTTTTTTTTCGCGCGAAATAAGTGTTACTGACAGTCAAACTTACGGAACAAAATCATTTTCTTTGTCTCTTTATTGCGACATTCATGAGAACTTAGTCCCCACAGGAAGTAACCCAGGATTCTTTACACAGAACTCAACGCACGCACATAATTAGCTCATTTACCCAAGATGGTGTCCCCGTGCTGGTTGTTAATTGTTCGAGTTTTCGTAATGTATGCACTCTTAATGTTTCTACATACTACTAGGTTAAATGTGTTTGCCACTTACTTTTTTGTTGTTATTGAAGTGCTTTTACGAAATTTAAAACAAAAAAATAACATAAACGCATAATTTAACGGGAGCAAACTTATACAAAAACTAGCTTAATTATTGGCGTAATTTTAGGAATATATACAAGCACTGCGAGTAACATAATATGCCACTTTTGCGAGCTCAATCTATAAACGTTTATACGAGCCATGACTGGCTTGTTAAAAAAGCCATTGTTATTTGCTAATGGAGTCAAAAGGGAATTAGAAACGCACAAGCGTTGATGCATTGAGTTCGTTTTTTGCCCAGAACAAGGATATCGGCACTGCTTTGCAACGTTTATTACTAACTGGGGATAAATTAAGTCTGCTACGCAGCCTAAATGATAGCCCGCAACTCAAATAAATCTTCTTTGGAAAAGCATGACGTTTATTTAAGCGTCAGCATGTTTTGCTGCGTTTAATGTTTTTGCTTGTTTTGACTTTTTTTCATTTGTTTACTGCTCCTTTTTCCTGAATTTGGCTTTTTACATTTGTAATTCACTTTGGACTGTTTCATTCCTGTCTTCAACGTTTGAATGCCATAATGTAAGCCAGGAACCAAAGGAATTGGAATTTCTTTTGGCTTACCGAGGGCCAACTGTTACTCCCTTGGTTTCATACAGTCCTGTGCCGGTGTCTTTTTGCTTTATTTCCGTGTAATTTTGCACTATATGTTTACACCGTTCCATAGTAGGGGCCAGCTGTTTTACCGGCATGCATCGTTGACAAAATTGCTATATAAGCAAAAATACAGCGATTTTGTTCCTATTTACCACAAAAATTCGCAATTACTATTGACAAATACGCCAAAAATTTCAGTAAAATAGAATTATTTAATATTTAGCCAATAGAAAACTTTTTCTCGTCTTTGATTGAAGCCTGATAGTAAACACCGGAGGGCTAGACACTATGTAAACGTGAGACGACGTCGGGAGCTTGACTAACTTTCAAAAACCGCTTTTATAACAATTAATAAGTTAAAATCCTCTCAGATAAGCTAACTTCCAATTTCAGGTGGTATTTTTTGCCAGCTAAAAAGTCACCTTTTGCATGGCTGCAAACCAAGAATAATGAATGCGAATAACAAGTCATTCCTTTGGATACGGATACATACATACATAATCTTTATTAAAATGTCTAATCGTTCTAGTGCCTATTGGCACTAATTGGGGACACCTAATACCCATGAAGGGGATGGGGATACCCATGAAGAGATTAGGTATAGGCCTGTCCACACGGTGGCTAAGGCCCCGTCCAAATGTATCCTGATATTTTTCAATTCGCAAATTTTTCTTCGAGGATTCAAAGGTTTCCACGTCCACACGTATCTGTATTCAAATCGAATTTGCCCGTCCACACGTATTCGGATTCACTCTCAATTCGTCAGCTAATTTATAAAGCGATGTCCGGCTCATGCGAAAATTTTATCGCCAATCTTCTTCAATAAATGTTTCACTAACAAAATTGTCCCACAAAGCACTAGATCGCTCGTTTAATAACTTGTTTACAGCGTCCAATTCGTGACATTCGTCCGTCCGATAAGGAAAGAAGGTTCAAAATGTCAAGCCGCCGTGTGGCATAATTGAGGCCGGTGTAGGTTATAAGACTTGACACTGAAGTTTAAAAAAAGCGATAACATTACGCTGGGCACCGTCTTGAATATTCACTGTAAATTTTCCGGGTTTAGCGTCCACACGATTCTGGATCCATAGCGTATTCAAAAATGTCCTCTCTGGAGAGTGAATTCAAAAAGTTGTGGATTCGTACGCCGGATACTCCGGATACGTGTGAACGGCAGCCGAATCCGGAAAGAAAAGGTTGCGGATTCAAAAATATCCGGATACGTGTGAACTGGAAATTATGATACCCACTTATCTCTTTATGAGACTGGAATGAAAACTACTTTGACCGTCATAAGGCCATGCCAATAAAATGTTTCTTCTCCCATCGCCCCGTCACTTGTGATGGTGGGTCGATTGGTCGGCCAAAAAAAAAAAAGAAAGAATGAATGAACAGTTGCCGAGGTCTGGGTTCCACAGAAGGCCGGGCTGCTAAGTAAGAAAGCCTGGTTACAAAGTCAACTCGAAAACGTGGTCTTTTCGACTATCAACTGTCTACGGCCTTTAAAAAAGTAGTATGGATGTCAATTAAAGACAAGGACATCACATCATACCAAGAATTGATGTTAATAAAACAAGACGTGTGCTTGTAAATTAAAGTACTTGCTTCTTTGACTAGGGAACTTGAAATTTTTTTTTTTACTTTTCGAAAAAAATGGGTCGGTCGGGCGATTGAAAACGAAACATTTTATTGGGATGGCCTAATAAGGAAACTAAAGATTTTTTTTTCAACTATAGAATGTTCACCCTTTCCTTGGAGGTTGTTCTAAGTAATTAACTATCCTTTTATCTATGATATCTAAATAGCCTTTTAGAAATGTTAATGTATTGTGTCTTTTCAATTTCGGAGCTTTGTACGGGACTTTACCTAATGCAATAACTGACCCTAAATGATGATGATGATAATAATAATAATAATAATAATAATAATACTAATAATAATCAGTTTATTAAACCCTTTGATAGTGTATAACACTAAATTACAAGGGAGTTCAAGAATACGCAGAAGACATAATGACACATGGCACAGAAGGCAAAAACAATTAAATCCTATTGTAACTGTGGATAACAAAATTACTAAGGTGGTCCGTTCTGACAAGGCGGAATTCAGAACGGGAAAAACCAGACCTCAACCCGTACCCATGAGCGACATTCGTGGGCTGCGGCAGCAGGTGTGAAGTTTACTAAAGTACTAAATGTAGTAACATTTACAACATTTATTTAGTAAAGTACTAAATGTAATAACATTTCAACGCAACTGTAATCATAGTCCTAAAGGCCATAACATTTGGCCTTAAATGTAATACAACCTTCAATGTAATGTAAACTCTTAAACTCGGTAATAAGCTCGATCTTTAATGCTATGACGTCATGCTAACGTCACCAATGACGTAACACGTTACGAAAATAGCCACATGATCTGTCGCGAAGTCAGTCATGCCATTGTCATGTCATGACCCACTGATTACAACACCCAAGTGAATAATGGAACACCAATCACGTGCCTTCTTATCTTGGATAAAGTAGGTCGCATTCACCAACCAAGAACAAGCAATCATCGGTTGCAGAGCAAGTAAGTCGAATGATCGACTGTTTCACGATTTCCTTTATGGAGAGTAATAAAAACCTTTTTTAAAATATATTTCAAACCTAAAGGGGAAGGGGGCAGGGGGTGGGTGGGGACAAATTGGGCGATAATCGCGTGATCCAATAAGGTGGCAAGCAGACTACCACTAGCCCAAAGCAGTTTTTCTTTCAAACCACGGCCCGTGGTAAAGAACAGTTCATAAGAAAGTTTTGTTTGTGACAAAAAGCTGAGGGTTACTCGAAAATGGCCTATTGCTCAATAGGAGGTTATACAGTCAACTCTCCCTAAGACGGACACCTTTGGGACCGGCACTAGCTGTCCGTCTTAGAGAGATGTCCGTTAAGAGAGAATCGACTGTACTGAAAATAATGGTGTAATTACACAGGTACTAATCCGCCGGTTATTGATATGCAAAATTTGTCAACAGGAGGCTTTGTGCTATCTAAATTTCTTTTGTTTGAGATTACACCTCTTTAATTGCAAATGACGTTACCATGTCTTTAATTTAAGTTTCATGCCAATTATATTTTAATTTCATTTGTTATTCCTTCGATAAGAGCTATCGATGTAAACTTTTGAGTTGTACAAGTTACTCTTGCCTCTTGAGGGGACGCCAAAGTAGCTTGTTTAAAGAAATCAAGGGCGTCTATAACTACAAAAGACTTCTCAGAAAACATTTTCTCTCTTTGTTGAGTCAACTTAATTTGCAAGCTGATGCTGCACAGTCAAGATTCATTCCACGAGTTGGAGCAAATATTGAGAAGTTTACAAGAAAACTTTGAGCCTGGGAGCAAAGCAATTTCCACAGATCCTGCACCCCATAATGTAAGCGACGAGAAAACGGCTGACAAGGGACCTAAAAAGTTACAAGAAATCCCGGTTTTCAAAGTTGAGTTTTGCGATGAGCTGTCGGTTGAGGATATATTGATGGAAATACTGCCGCATCAATAACTTCATACTTCCAAGGAATACACAATAAACGGTTTGAGTTTTAAGATTGAAGTGCTCGGCGACACGGAACTTACATCAAAGTGCGGCGTCTACAAGCAAGGTGGAACTGAAAAAGACTTCACAAGAGACTCCAAAAAGTTTGTTTATACAGTCGAACCTCGCTATTTCGAACTCGGTTAATTCGAAGTCCCCGCTATTTCGAAGGAAGATCGAATGCCCTTGATTCCCCCGCCCCC